TTGGGGCATTGACATCCAATATGCCAGTGGAGCATCAGATCAGGGAAGCCTTAAAAGTCCAGAAGTATGTATGGTCAATATTTGGAAAATCCCTGCTTATTAATTGGAAATGAAACGTGGTACCTAAATGAGGCCAGCATCTTAGATAATTTGTGTTTTTCCTTCAGTGGTCACAACGAAACTGTCAGCTACTCTTTATCACTTTACGGTGACAAACTTGCTAACAAATTAATACATTAATTATCATAAATTAATTTAGCTAATATCAAATGCTAAACACTGAACTACATATTTGAGAGTTGTCTGAATACCATAAAATAGCCTAATCCCGAATATGCCCAATACAGTCAAATGCTACTGCCAATTTTAGATTATGCAAAAATATTCTATTCCTTTTCGAAGTCATGCATCTTATGGTCAAACCTACATCTTAAAATAGCTGAAATATTGGATGAAGACATGGATCATTTTGTATATTATTAAAAAGGGAATGAAATTTCATTCAGATAAAGTTATATCATTATAGCTAGCTATAGGCATGATTCAACACACCAAAGTACTGCAGTGGAGGTTTGCGGACTGAATCAAGGATAGAGATGAAAAGTTATATACGAGCAATAAAAAAAAGTCTTCAAAAGACAACTGCTTTATGAACAAATTGCGGGTTTAAGTGAACATTTTCTAACTTAACTTTTACTCTGTTTTTCTCCTTCAAGAAAAAAAATAAGCAATGCACCCACTTCCTGCATTAAATTAGGTAATACATGCAAAGAAGCAAATCTTCCTGTTCCAATGACTTTTTAAAATTGAACTCCGAGGCATTTTTTATAAATTCAATATAAAATATTCAGCCAAAGAGATTAAAAATAAACAGTAAATAACTTGTGGTGTTCTTGGTGCTCTCTGAACTTGTTTGTTTTCTTGCAGACGTTTCATTACCCAAACTAGGTAACATCATCAGTGCTAATAAATAACTTGTCCTATGTAAGATTTCTTATAGTAGGGCCAAACAAAAATAATACTCTCAAATTCACCTGTAATTTGCAATGCTTTTAAATCATGTCAGCATAGCTTTTCTCCATTTCTCATAAATGTAACACAAAGAACATAAAAATATTAATCATAGTGCAAAGTATATCTGGGTGTTGCCAAGCATACTGTTACATATTTTTTTGTACATTTGACTTGATCTCTTAATTTTTTTTACCTCTCTTCTTATGTTTAAAAGACTCTGCCAAAGGCATAGAAAAAGATACAAATAATAACACTACAATCACTTCTGCAAGTGCTATAAAACTTCTTTTTTTTGTAAATATGAATATTCATGAAATATTCATGAAAATGAGATACATGTCACTGAGTGGAATTCAATTTCATGGCTTCAACACAAACATCAAAGTATCATGTGATTTTATCAAATTCTGTGTATGTGTATTAAGTGACACATTCTGCATAACTTTTTAATGTTATTTTTATACTTTTATTGATTTCAAAGTCACAAGATTCTACAATGATGCAACTGTATGTAAATTTTCCTATATAAAATGAGGTGGCAGTTGAAAGAAACATTAAGATCATAAATTAAGCAACAACTGTAAGCAATTAACTGGTTGTATATAAAACAGGAAAAAGGAGGGGGGGGGAGGACTTTTCACTGTCTGTGAGTTTGTATTCTTTGAAATACTGAAGCTTTTATTAGTCACGCATTCCAAGCCCGAAGTCTGCAGGCTTCTGACTAAGGCTCCTGCGATTTATTTGAGGAGAAATACTAGGTCTACATCTTATGACTGAACACAACAATCCACAAGCTGAGTGGAATGTAAGGAATGCAGAGTGCTTGTCAGGCTGAGGCAGCCAGGAAAGCACATAGTTATCAAGCTGGCTTGGCTGAAATACTCTGATCACTTCCTCTAGTAAGGAATGAAAGGAATCCTCTCAGCTTTTTCTTCAGGCCAATCACAGTTCTTTGCCCAGGAAGGAAAATAATCTTTTTTCTTTTCCAGAAAAACAGTACAAAACTCTGCTGGCATGTGGAGAATGAAAGCATGCAGCAAACTATCTTTGTGAAACCAGCTGTTGGTGTACAGCTTGCCCAGCAGCTGTTCTTGAGTTTCCTGGCCTGTGTGTCTGTATACGCATGTGCATAAAAACACCCACACAATTTTCCTTCTCCCAGAGTGGTAAGACTTAACACATACGGGATCACGGGAGCAAACAGAAGTAGTATTTTAAAACACAGCTAAGCATTTTGTAGCAGCAGGAATAAGTAGAACTAATGCTGTGGATGAAAAGGGTGGACAGAATTTATGCTTGATTGAATGATGACATTAGGAGGGCCCCCTGCAAGATATTTTGAAATTTTTGGTTTTCAACCTAGCATGTAAGCAGAACTAAAAGCAATTATAAGACTGAATCAGAAAAACACAGCCACTCTTCAGACTAACGCTTAAAGTAAAATGCAATGAAAGAACCATAATGTTAGAGCACTGTTACAGTTAACTAAATTCTTATATCAACATGTTTGTGTCCTCATTCATTATCCTCCAACATAATGAAACAGAATGTTTCCTACTTATCTGAGTACAACATAATGTGTAACCTCAATTTTGGAACGCGACTATATTTTGCGTCTATGCAACTGAACAAAATGATTCGTGCTGGATTGTCACTTTTCAAAAAAAAAAAAAAAAAAAAGGAATATTCGAACAAACCTGAATACAATGCTTTCTAAATAATAACAGCATTGACGGGTTTAATGAGAGCAGCAGAAATGAAACAGATAAATTAGAAACTTACAGATGAGGACTGAATAATCGACTCATTTTAGGTACATGTTCCTTTTCACAGTCTAGATCATCTTCTCCTTGGTCAATGCTGAACCTCCTTTTGCAAGGACTGATTGGGGGAGGCCCAGTCCTATGGTTGGTCACAGCAGCAGATATGGGGAGAGACTGCATCCTGGGCTCTCCTCGTAGTGCAGCTTCACCTAGAGAAAAAGCAAAGGTGAATGGATGGAACAAAAAGAGGAGCATCAAAAGGCCAGTCAGTCTTTTAAAAGAATAGTTATATGCTCATTATTCATTTTTTTTTAAATTAAAGCGAGATAATTGAAAATCTATATAGGTATCCTTTGACTTACAACCAGTTCTTTAGTGACCCTTCAAAGCTACAACAGCACTGAAAAAATGTGGCTTATGGCCATTTATTGTTCTTATGCCTTATGTGGTCATGTGATCAAAATTTGTCCGCTTGGCCAACGGCAAAATTATAAGGGTTGCTCTGTCCCAGGTTCATGTGATCACCTTTTGTAAATCACCTAACAGTTGGGTTGGAAATATATAAACCGGGATAGACATTTTAATACTGTCTCTTTAAGGGAATGCTAAAAATTGTAATTGGGTGTGGTTCCTCAAACGGCCATAAGATGGAGGCAGAAACCTGGTTTCCCACAGAGTGTTGCTAGTTGCTAGTTGGTCTATGTTCTGATGTTCACTGTTTTTTGGTTCCTGCATTTTTCCCTATTGACTGTTACTGATCGTCGTTATTCTTGGATTTGATGTTAAGTCTGTTACTGAACTGTTTTTGATACTGGACTTTGTTATTTGGATTATCCCTGGACTGAAAACTGACTGCTATAACCATGTATGACTTGGACTGCTTGTTGGACTTTGCTTAACCGTTTATTGGAAGTAAAAACCTACATTTTACTATACAGTATATCTGTGTGCTGGTTGTGTGTTATTTCTCACCACTCTCACTACGTCTCCCTGTGTGCACTCATTCTCCTAACAGGGAATTACCTCAACAGTGACCTTCTGACAAGCAAAGTCAAACAGGAAGCCAGATTCACTTAACAACCATGTTACTAACTTAACAACTACAGTGATTCACTTAACAACTGTGGCAAGTAAGATAATAAAATGGGGCAAAACTGAGTTAACCACTGTCTTGCTTAGCAACAGAAATTTTGAGCTCAATTGTGGTTTTAAGTTTGCAAGTCTTTAACATTCAGTTTCTAAAATACACCTATTGTGGAAAAAACAACGGAGATTATAGTTATAAATACATTTTACAATTAGTATATTCATTTAAAAGAGAAACAATCAATTACAGGTGTCCTCATTTAATGACCACAATTGGTAATGGCAACTCTGTCACTAAGCATTAACATCAAGACCATGACAGACATACAACCTCACTTCCGCTGCAGTCATTAAATGAAATATCACAGGAACACAATTTCTCTGCTGGCTTTTTCTTGATTTTTTTTGTCAGAAGCCAGCTGTGAAATGTGCAGATGACAATGACATGACCATGTGATACTGACTGATCATAAATGCCCACCATTTGCAAAGCACCTGAATGTCAATCATGTGTCCATGGCAATCTGCAGCCTTTGTAAGTGTAAGGACTGGTCATACAGTTACTTTTTCAGCACATCATAACTTTGAATGGTAGTAACTATCTTATTCTATTTGTAGTTTAATATAAGCAGAAAATCACTTTACTGATTTTCAGCAGCACATTTTGGCAAAGTGTTAAGAGGGGTTCTAGAAGACTTTGGGAGACACAAGTTTTAGATTACTCACCCTGACTCAGTGACTAAACAACAGCATCATAACATCGCCACCTGGCAAGCTATGCCAAGAGATAATTAACTTGTTTAAGGACATTTTTTACATTCTCAACCAAATAGGTTTTGAACTGTAAGTTGGATTTTCTCAACCTCCCTCCCTTCCTTCCTTCCCTCCCTCTCTCCCTTCCCAATTCACACATAGGTGACTCTGGGAGGCTTACAAAATATGAGTGTCACAACCAGTTCAATTCTTTTTTTAATAAAAGTTTTATTTCAGTTTTTCCACATTTTTTAAGAAATATCTCTTTTTAGTAAACAGTGTGGTTCCAGGTTTTCACATCTCCATACTGTCATAGTTTAGATTACATATTCATCTTTCACATTTAGTTCATATCTTACCTCTACTTTACATATTTTCTATGATTTTTCACAAATACTTTCCTCAGGCATATTTATAAATTTTCAATTCCTTTCTTAGCCTATTTCTTTTAGCTTATTCATTATACTTATACTTTTATCTGTCATGATTACAATTTCATAGCATATTCTCATTTCATCATTTCAAAAATTCCACCTTAGTTCAAACATTTTAATACAAAAATTTCCCCTACAAATACCAGTTAGAGTGTGCCACACCTACAGCTTATATATCATCTAATGAATTTCCTTTTAAATCCCAATAATCATTTAATTTATAATTTATAATTTATAACAGTCATCTTCAAAAAGCTACCTAACATATATTACCTTTTATATCAGATTCTGCATGTTTTCCCCTTCAATTACATCAAAAACATTTATAATTTCAAAAAGAAAAATTAATCTATTCAATTCATCGTAAAAGACTGATATTGAATTCATTGCAACAATTCTCATATTTCATTTCAACTGTATTTTATAATTTCGTTAGACATAATTATTAAACTTAACATAATTTAACTTTATTCATTCTTCCATTTCCCCCTCCCCTACTTGTAATCTCATTACAACACTCTTCGTAATTCATTTCACTTATATTCTATAACTTTATCAAACTTAGATAAGTTTATCATAATTTCTCTTTTATCACAGTAGTTCCAGTTATCTCTATATCTAATTTAACAAAAATCCAGTATTCCAATAACAAAACATATCAGTTCCAATCTTTCATTTTAATAATCTATATTTTCCTACTTTCTAAATAGTTTGGTATTTCTAATATATTTATACTACACCGTAACACCTTGCAGTATCCTCTTTCTCAATTCTTAGTTAACCGTTATCTCTATGTCTTTTAAATAAGCATTTTTTTTCATTTTTGTTCAATTTCCATATTTCTTTATTTCCTGGTTCTGTTTTTTATTGTTTTTCCCCCTTCATTTTTCCCCTCCTTTTTATACTCCAATTTTTATCCCCCTCCCTTTTTAAGACTTCCTTCTGCAGTTCCCTTTTCTGCTGTTTCCTTTTACTTTGTTTGGTTTTCAAAATATTCCCCTTTTTAATTACCTCCTCAAATCTCAAATTTTTAATTCCCATTCTTTTCCCTTTTCTCTTTAAACCTTATTGCTCCAATTGCTCATTAAAAATGGCCTCTTCTTTAATCAACTACTCTTCTTCTGGCACTCCTTGATGTTCTTCATACTCTGAAATCACCATTTCTAAAAATTGTAAAGCAAAGACAAACGATTTGCCTGTTTCTTGTAGCTTTTCTTTCATGTTTCTCAGTTCCATTTTTAATTCCGAAAAAAGTTCTGCCAACTTAACCACTTCTATCCAGTGATTTAATTCAGCCAATGTCTAAAAAATTTGTTTCCAACAATTAGCTTTTATTAATTCTTCTTTAGATTTTTTAGTTCCATCAAGTAATCCAATAACCATAAATTTATGTTTATGCCAAGATTGCCAAATAATCCCAAATCGAAATCTTCCTGCTTCTTTCTCCCCCCCCCCCCCCAAAAAAAGTTCAATATTCCACGTTTGCTTCCCAGGGGCTATGTTTTGTTGTAGCAAGATTTCACTTATATTGTATCTAATCCAGCCTTTGAAAGATCCAGGTTATAGAAATTCACGAGTAATTTTTTGCCACTAGATGGCACTCTCTGTTCTGTCCAAATTCCACCCCTTTTCTCCGTTTTTCTCTATTTAGGGAATCCTAATCCAAAGTTCCAATAAGTGCAGATATCAGAATATATTTTTGTTTTTCCTTTGACACGTTCAAGTTCAGCTTTAAATTTGCCTATTTAGTGTCAAGATAATATATTCTCCAATTTAAACAAATATCTTCTTCAGGCATCTCTTTCAGTATTCAAAGCCACTTCCAGCTGTCAAAATTTTTTTTTCCCCCTCACTGTCTTTGTCCGCCGCTTTAATTAATTCTCTTAGAAATTCTTTAAAATTTAATTTTGGGATACCTTGTATTCAGATGTTGCACCAGATTAGCCCAGTTATTCAAGCTATCCTCTTCTTCACCGCTCCTGCACAATCTTATCCCGGCTAGCTCTTCCTCTTCAGGGTGGCCATTTTAGACCACTGCTACAGCCTCTTCAGAGGGGAGTGTTTGCCAAGCCAAGAAGGGGAGATGCGGCTCCCCTTGACCCAGCTAACGATCTTCCCTTTCTTCACCAATCCTACAGGGTGGCTCCGGCCCCAGATGCAGTCGCTCCGGGCCCTCCGACAGGAAAGCATGGATCAAAGCCACGGACGATTGCGGTCTTCAGTCCATCAACGAGGATGACATCACCGGAAGTCCCACAACCAGTTCAATTCAAATAACCTAATATGCTAAAACCAAATAAACCATATTCTGGTGCAGAGAACAGTGCTATATACTACAGCCTTATTTCAAACATGAAATAGTGTCACTTTTCTTTTTCATTATATCCAAAATATAACTGAAGCGAACTGGACCAGCAGCACATCACACCCAAGCAAAAGCAATTCCACAATTTTATATTCTATTCAATGCACAGCTCACATAAAAGAACCCTATTTAATAAGCTCAACAAACCCAATTTTGTCGTGAAAGAAACCACTCAGGACTAATCTCCACTATGTTTACCAGAAAAAATAAACATTTGCCAATTTAGCAAGCAAGATATAAACTAGCAAATACACTGTGGTCTATATACACACCACAAGTAATGGCTTCTATTCAAGACTCTGGCATCAAAACTAAACAGTAACTTTCCACTTTCTGTGTATATGTTAAAAGAAAAACGGTGCACTGCATGGCAAACAAGTTTCCCATCTGAATATCCTGCCATGTTCATACACAAGTTATTATTAACTTTGAAATTTCTCTCCCACTTTCCTGTTTTATCCCTTCCCAGCACCAAAAGTTAGTAAATGCTTGTCAACAGGCAAACTACCCATTACTTCAAAGAAGGCAAAAAATTTAGAAAACAGTGTAGTGTGCTTTCTTACATTCTACC